CAGCAGTGATAGGGGTAGGAGGCAATGGGGTTGTGGAACATTACATTCTTCTCAGATACCAGATTTTTAAAAAACTTACAAAGGTAGTAAACTCAGTTGAACCCTGTTCAGAATGGTAGTGTGTCAGGCTGCCAAAAAATTGAAAATAATTTGCCCTCAGATATATCAGATATGTGTAATCTTTACTATAGTGAACATTCCTGATTTCGTCTGATTTTGGAAGCATAGCAGGGTTGGATCTGGTTAGTACTTGAATGGGAAACTTGGATGAGAGTACTTGGATTGGAATAAAGTGTGGAGAGAAGGCAAGTTAGAGTCATCCCTGATTACAACCAATCAGGACTGAGCTGATGACAGCCAATCAAATGTTGGGCTGTAAGGAAAAATTTCATTAGGAACAGGTGGAAGTCAGATAGGGTTTGGATTCCAGACAGTAAGGGTCTGGTGGTGAAGTTTCCAGAGTGGAAGAGGGTTAAGGTCCAGAAGAGAGGGGCCTAATACCCATACTAAACTCCAAGTGAGGGAGTTAATAAAGAGAATATCCTGAGAGGTATTGATAGCCTTAGAGGCAGGTTAAGAAATAGTGGTAAAGGTACCCAAAGAAGGGCTAATAGCATCTTGTGGGGGTAACTGAAAGTGTTCCAAGGAAAGGAGTGTTTTAGAGTATCATTATTTGTGACTGTAACCAATTATAACAAGTGCAGCAAGCCGAATTGAAATATTGTTACTTGTATTGTAAATACAGTTTTCTTGTTACCTTATGAAACACTTGTCTACAGTGTGAATGAATATCTACACTACTAATCCTTATATAAGATGTTATATCAAAGGGTTTTAGAAGAGAAGGTTGGTGAGGGAGTGGCTCTTTGCATAAGGTGGTGGCAGCCAGTGTGGTTTAGTGATTAGAGCACTGGACTACAACTCTGGAGACCAGGGTTCAAATCCCGACTCAGCCATGGAAACCCACTAGATGAATTTGAGCAATTCACACTCTCTCCACCTCAGAGTAAGGCAAAGGTAAACTACCTCTGAACAAATCTTGCCAAGAAAACCCTGTGATAAGTTTGCCTTAGGGTCAAGATAAGTTGAAGATGACACCCAACAAGCTCTAACTGGCAGCAACTTTCAATGTTTGCAGGCAGGATCTTTCCCCCTTAGTATTCACCAGGGATCATGAGGCAGAGCTAGGAAAGGATCCTGCCTCAAACCCCAGAAAGTTGCTGCCAGAGTTAACAATACTTGGCTAGATGCAGAAAAAATCTAAGCCTGACTTAGTATGAGGCAGCTTCTTGTGCTCCTAGATTTGGAAGGGATGGTTGGTTGAAAAATATGAGATCCCTTTTGCTTCAACAGCCTGTTCCATCTAGGGTTGTTGATATTCAGCTATTTCATTCTTGCAAGTAATGACAAACTATTTCCTCAGGTTTTCCTCCACCAAAAATGACAATTTCTGCACGTTTCTTGACTCATCTTGGTGGTCCCAAAGTTTCTCAGGAAACTATTCTGCACAGAAATACATGTGGAGCTTTGCACAAACCCACCCAAAAAATGGCCATGATCCTGCTGCTTGTCACATCACACTTGCTGCCAGGAGAGGTCTAGACAAGTCTTCACTCAGTGCCCCCCTCTCCAGTGCCTTAGAAATTCTTCTGTTGGAGTGCCTGATTTGAAAGGTAGGTTTTTGGGAGAACTTTTGCTTGTTATAATAGTGCAACAGCTGTAAATACAAATTTCAATAATTATAGTGCCATAAGCCCAGTTTATGACATTATAAATACTGAGTAGGACGCTAGTCACTGGGATCCAGTATAGCGTAGTGTAGTGGTTTGAGTGTTGGACTATGACTCTGGAGACCAGGGTTTGAATCTCAGCTTGGCCATGTAAATCCATCAGGGTGACTTTGGGAAAGTCACACACTCTCAGCCTCATGGGATGGCAAAGGCAAACCCCTTCTAAAGAAACTTGCCAAGAAAACCCCATGGTAGGATTGCCTGAGGGTTGTCATGAATTGGAAATGACTTGAAGCTACACAGCAAGTACAAACAACTATGCCAGTCACAGTTTCCAGCTATCCACATGGTCTGTGTGTGGGGTGGGTGGGTTACAAGACTGATGTTTATTGTACAAGTAACAGAATTCCCCCTCCCCCATAGCCACATGAGGGTTTTAATGTGTATGTGATAGTTCTTTTTTTGTGGGGAAAAATCAAGCTCTAAAATGTACACGGTATTTGGAAATAGTGTTGGGAGTGCACAAAAATTGTGTTGTTTGGTACAACCCTCACCCAGATTTAATACAAAAATCTCTGTAGAATAATTTTCTGAAATACTTCAGAATGTGCAAATACTGGATGAAAATGACACAAAATTCTTATTGTTGTGTTTTTGTTCTTGACCAAACCTGCAACTATTGGGTAACCCATATTTCAGCCAAGAAACAAATATCCTTTTCTTCCTTAGTTCCACTATTATTCTCCCTCCCCAAGAGGTTCTAGAGGGAAGGGATATGGTTGTGCAACTGGGAACAGTTCTTGATTCATTCTCTTCACTGCTCTTGTTATGAAACATCTAATTATCTTTGGAATTACACACTGCACGGTAATTGTCTACTACTCTCTTGTTCCCACCGTATGTTACACCGCATTGACTCATGGCCAAAGACTGCCTTCACGGAGAAGCCTTCACAACCTACTTCAAAGGAAAGACAGAAGTTTAATTTATTTTCTTAGCATCCATAAACACACATTTCAACCAGAACAGAGGTAGTGGTGGAAAGTTCTAAGGAAGGGATGGAGTGGAAAATAATGGGTGCATCAGCAAAACCCAAATGATGATGCCCTGTCCTACCTTCTTTTAAAAAGAAAATCAGTTGATGCAGGTAACATGTCTTGGCTTTATTCCAGTATTAATTGGCAACATTAACAGTACAGGAAATGCTTCCTTTGAAAGAGGGAAGGCAGAGAGAAAGTTTAGTTTCTCTGTTGCCGCAGGCAGAAAATGTTAGCAGCTTCATTCCAAGGGTGTGTCCATTTCTTAATCTGAAGCACATATGGCTTCGCTGGGAACCAAGCCAGTAGGAACTGATGAGCAACTACGATTGTGCTGAGGGAGCAGATAAAACCATAGCTCTATCAGAGCTCTACCTAATCCAGATGTATAGACTAGATCAGATTAGGCAACCTACAAGGCCTTGAAATGTTTGGGGCTTTGTTGCTCTTGTTGTTAGCTGCCCTCAAGTCAGCCCCAAATGATAGTGACCCAGTGGATGAGACATCTCCAAGACTCTCTATCATCCAGTGCTATGCTCAGGTTCTGCAAACTCATACCAATGACCTCCTTAATAGAGTCCATCCATCCAGCATATAGTTTTCCTATCTTCCTACATCCCTCCAACTTTCCTAGCATTATTAACTTTTTGAGTGAGTCATGCCTTCTCATGATAATAAGGTGTGTTGTCATGATGATAAGGTGTTATAAGTTGATAAATTGTTGTTGGGGCTACAGATCTCATAATTCCTGACTATCAGGCATCCAAGATGGAGAATGATGGGAGCTGTGATCCAGCACATTAGGAGGGTGCTGCACTACCTATTCCTCCCCTCGATTATTGAAGGGGATTGTGGGTAGGAGCCATGTTAGTAAATGATTGATAAAGGAGAAAAGGGACGTACAGGGTTGAATCAGATGGATGAGAGAAGAAGAAGAAGCAGTTTAGAATGCCCATCCCTGGAGGCCACAATCCAGGAAGCTTCCACACTTTCTTCCTCCTCCTCCCTCAGGCAGAAACTTCCCCCAAAAGTCCTCTTCACCTTTCTCTTCCCTTAGGTCAGGGATCTCCAGTTGGGAGAGGTACCTCAGCTGACTTGAGAATGTCAGCAGGTCCCAACCAATCCCACTTATAGAGATTGCAACCATAGAGATGTTGCAGTGTTTTGCTTTAGCTCTGGCTTTTTGCTCTGGCAAAACCCCAGCTGAGGTTGCACTAGTTGGCCCATAAGATCCTTTTCCTTCTATGTTTCCAGGGAGGGGAAGTTCATTCTCCACTCTGCTAGTGTTCTGCATTAGATTCACCATGTTTTGCTATCAGATCTGGCAGGATACCATATTCAGAAATCCAGGCTTTAATAGTTACAACTCAGAAAACCTTTATTAAGAAGCTACAGATCCAGTCCAGTGGCATTCATTGTCAAAACTGGTCAGCTAGTGTCTGATTAAACTGCACACAATTTCAAATGCCTGGTGGGCTTAATTCTTATTTGTTAGGAAGGTCAAAGAAGAAAGTGCAAAGTCAGACTTAATGCTGAACATAAAGAATACAAAAATAATGAGCACAGAGGGACTACACAAATTAAACCTAGACAATGAAGAAATTGAAATAGTTAAAGAGCTCCCATACCTTCGAGTAAACATTGATCAGAATGGAGACTGCAGTCAAGAAATCAGAAGACTAGGAATCAGAAAGGCAGCTATGAAAGAACTAGACAAGATCCTAAAGTGTAAAAACATACAACTGAGCACTGAAGTTAGAATTGTTCAATCCACTTTATTCCTAATCTCATTGTGAAAGTTGGATAGTGAAGAAAGCAGATAAAAAGATCAATTCATTTGAGATGTGGTGCTGGAGAAGAGTGCTGAAGATACCATGGCTAGCCAAAAAGACAAATGAGTGGGTTCTTGAGCAGCTCCAGCCAGAAATTTTCCTGGAAGCCAAGATGATCAAATTAAGGCTGTCATATATTGGCTACATCATGTGAAGGCATGATTCATTGGGAAAAAAAAAAACTATTATGCTAGGAAAGGTGGAGGGCAATAGAAACAGAGGAAGACCACATGGCAGATGGACAGACTCGATTAGGGAGGTCATGGGCATGAATCTACTAGACTTAAACAGAGCAATGGAGGATAGGTTCTTGGAGAAGTCTCATCCCCAAGGTCATCATGAGCAACGGACGACTCAAGGACAGTTAACAACAAATAATTAATAAACACATGTTCCCTTCTCATTCCCATACCATCCCTTCTAATAATAATAAAATTTATTTGTATCTCACCCCTCTGAGAACAATTCTATGTTATTACAGCCAGATTCTTTTCACAGAAGCAACTTTGAACAAGATTAGCTCATGTTTGCTTCCCACCCATTGTTATCTCAGCACCTGTCTCTAAGATCGCTGTCTTGGCAATAGCCTTTTCTACTGAATAAGCCATCATACAACATTTTATGGCAGGCAAGATGCAAATGCAACTCCTGACATTTGCAGAGGCTGGTATTCCACCCTATTCAATATATCTGATATATCTTCAATTGGTTCAAAATGCAGCAGCCAGGTTGGTCACCGGAACATCTAGAACAGACCATATTACACCGGTGCTAAAAGCTCTTCGCTGGCTGCTGATTAGCTTCTGCACGCAATACAAAATGTTGGTTATTACCTATAAAGCCTTACATGGCTTGGGTCTGTGTTACTTGAAGGAATGCCTCTCCCCCACACAATCCGCCCCGCACACTCAGAACATCAGGGAAGAACTTAAACTATCATAACACTAAATTGACAGTTACTTCCCAAAAATCATTCATGGCTGCAGCCCCTAAATTATGGAACAGCTTGCTGGAAGAGGTCCGTACTATTCCCACGTCAGAGGCCTTCAAAAAGGCACTCAAAACAGAACTCTTCCGGCAGGCCTGTCCACCTGACCCAAATTAAAAATATGTCCTAAGACCTCCTGGGGGAAGGCAGACCATCACCACCTACGGCTCAGACTGGTACTTCAATTTTATTGTAATTTTAATAATTCAATTGTTTTATCATTTTTATTTTGTTATGGTTTATTGCTATATTTTAACGTTGTATTGTTCTCTTTTATCTCTGTACTCCTGCCTTGATCTGCAGGGAGAGGTGGGATATATAAATAAATTATTATTATTATTATTATTATTATTATTATTATTATTATTA